CCCATCATTAAAAGAAGTATCTTTAGGGGATGGACGACGAATAAGTTCTATTGAGGGAACAGTGCACTCCGTGTGACCGCATGGAGTGAGGCGCCGCGTCGTGGATGGATGAGGATCCGCTTCCGCGTGTGTCTCTTTGGGTGATTGCTAGCTCCGTGTGCGTTGTGTGTTGGCTGCGGGGCTGTGGCCGTATGCCGTTGGCCGTGGGATTGAACTGGAGGTGGTGGTGGCGTTGGGTCTCTTCTCCGTCCATTGGTGGGTGGCTGCTGGCGGTGTGTGCGTTTGTTGTGTGGAGGGCCGAATCTTCTCACCCGCGGACTGACAGCACTGCGATGGTGTGTGTGTGTGATGGCCGGTGTAGAGTGGCGGTGCGTAGCGCTGGGTTTTGCGGAGCGAGTGAGTGCGTTAAATGCGAGAAGGTCATTGCCGTCCTCGCACCCCGTGTGTGTTTTGCTGTTCTTTTCTGTGGGTGATGGTCTTCCGTGCTGTTCCTTCCTGATTGTCTTGTGTCCCGCTCTCTGCGTGGGTGCTCTGCTCTGCTCACCGCACCGCTGGCGTGTCTGATTTATTACCGCTGCTTTCCTCCTCTCCACTTCCTGAACACAGACGTTAGGAAAGAAGGAAAACAAGCTCTAAACGCTACTGTGAGGTTCGAGGGCTCCGAAGGACCAACAGCACAAACACCGCCCACACACACATATTTATATGCTCTCACGTGTTGCTGCAGAGAAGGCACCCCGCACACAACCGTCGCCGCGTGACCGGATCCAGCGGAAGGAGGAGGGAAGGAAGAGAGGGTGAGCCGCAGAGGTCCAACATGTCCCGGCTTGTGTTTACTTCGGCGGTGCTGCTCCTAGTCGTGATGTCATGCTGCGGATGTGGAGCTGCTAACGCAGAAGGGCGGTAAGTCAAGGGACGTGCGAATGCCACAACCGGTTGACATTTATGTGCCGATGAAGACGCAGGTGGAACCAAAAAGTGGTTCTGGCAAAAGTGGAATGAGGGATTCATTCGCTGCGCCTTCTCTTGTCCGTGCTGGTGGAGTGATGATTGCATTTGCTGAAGTTCACACCGAGTATAAAGGCTCTCACTATAGATTGAATGTGTTTTCTTCTGATACTGTGGCGGGGTACATCAACGCCACGGAGACGTGGCCGTTAATTGCCGCCGAGAACAATAAGGATAAATGGAGGGTACGCACACTGTTTAGTACAGTGAATGAAGAGGATCTTTTTGGTGTTGCGTGCAACCCCACAGCGATTGCAAAGGACAATAAAGTGCTTCTACTTGTGGAGAGCTACAATATGTGAAAAAAATGATGGTCGCTAGAATACGGATGGCTGGGATATTCAACTGGCTGAGGGTGGTGCCACGCACTCCAATGACGGCATGCAAATTAAATTGATCGACTGGGCTGAACCCAAGTCACCTTCACGGCAGATCCCCCAAAGGATTAAAAGCAACCTGTCGGATTTTGGGGGTGGTGGTAGTTCAGGCATTGTGATGCAGGGTGGCACACTTGTGTTTACCCTGAGGGCGAGGAATGGGGAAAATCAACCTTTCTCCAGGATCACTTATTCGACGGACAACGGCAATACCTGGGTGTTCCCAGAGGGCATTTCTCCTGCGGAATGCTTTAACCCCAGCATCACCGAATGAAATAGGAGACACATTTTTATGATCGTTCAGTGTAAAGATGGCCAGAGTTTGTTTGAGTCGCGTGACATGGGGGCAACGTGGACGAAGGCTATTGGGACACTCTCAGGCGTGTGGACCAATTCACAATTGGGAGTCTTTCGGGAAGACAATTTGCCTGTGGAAGCCCCTATCACCGCGACCATTGAGGGAGTGAAGGTGATGCTGTACACTTGGAAAAGGAACTTCTCGTGGGAGAAGAAGGAAAATGTGTTCCATCTTTGGGTCATGCAAAACAACCGCACGTTTCTTTTGGACCTGTTGCCATGGATAATAAATTGGAACTTTTCCACACCCTGCTGTACTCGAATGGTGCGTTGCACATTTTACAGGATGGGATTATTAAAGCAAGCAACACCATTTCACCTGTCCCACTAGCCGAGGGGCTACAGATGATCAATTACGTCTTGAAGAGTTGGGCACAGCTGGATTCCTTCTTCTTTGAGTCGTTTACAACCACGGCGGGTCTGGTTGGTTTCCTTTCCAACGCATCGTCCGGAGGTGACACGTGGATCGACGATTACCTTTGCGTGAATGCAGTTGTGACGAAGAATGCAATGAAAGCCAAAGATGGGTTTGAATTCACGGGGCTTGGGTCTGGGGCAATATGGCCCGTGAGCAGCCGGGAGCATAATGGGCCGCACACCTTTGTAAGCTGCGATTTCACTATTGTGGCGACGGCGATCACCCAAAATTTTCCGAAGTTGAGCACTCCTCTACTGGGTGCGGGTGTGGATGCACCCGTCAGCACGATCTTCATTGGGCTGTCGCACAACGCGGATAGTAGTTGGAAGATAGTGTTTTACGGAATAAAAAACAGCATCGGGCAGCACTTGGGAACCGGGGAAAGAATACCAAGCGGCACTCATGCTGCAGGACGGTCACAGGGGATCTGTGTACGTGGATGGTGTGATTGTGGGAAGCCCAGAGACGATACGAACACCTGAGACGCGGGGGGCTGAAGTCTCATTCTTCTACATTGGGGGCGACGAGGGAGGCAGCGGCAGCAATGCGACTTTGACGAGCTTCTTTCTGTACAACCGCCCACTGAGTGTCGGTGAACTAAAACTGGTCAAGAAGAGCGAAGGCTCTACGCATGGGGGCGCGTTGCGGGCGCTGCTGCTGGGGCTGTGCGGCCCTCTACGGGGCGTAACGCGGCGGGACCCCTGCCTCCAGTGGGAGCAATATGTACCTCTCCACGCGCCTTCCTAAATAATTGACGTTTTGCTTGGACATACCTTTTACTTTATATATTTTATTTTTGGTTTGAATATGCCTTTTCCGCCTGTGCAATTCTTTATTTAAAAGCGTGCTCTCCCTCCCGGGACCGCACCGCGAGGTATTCTTTTTTGTTTTATTCTATATGCTTGTTTTTTTTTTATATATTGGAATATATTGAGATTGGCGGGATGTCTTTAATGTTTCCGTATGTTGATGACACGTGCAGTCGGAATTGAGCTCCACGACGATGGTGTGATGAAGAAGGGATTAAAGATGTGCAGCAACGCAGTGAACGTCCCAATGAAATGTGGGTGTTGTGTGGACACCAGTAGGTTGAACGGCTGACGCAAATATATTTTTACTTTTGCGGGAAGAATATACACGTGTTTTTTTTTTCCGCGTCACTGTGTTATTTTTTCCTTTTTTTTTGTGAGCGTGAAAAACTTCTTCAATGGGACTGTTCTTTGCGTTTTAATGTGTTCTTGTTTTTATGTTTTAAGTTTTTATTTTTTGTTTCTGCAGGCGTATTGTGGGTTGCCGTAGGTTGGGCTGCCGTGCCATCTTGAGCTTTGGCTGCCTTCTTTCTTTTCTCTTTGTCTGTCTTGCACCTCTGCTGCGTTTTTTTTTTGTTCCTCCACGTGCGTGGCTCTTTTTTTTTCTCTTTGCGTGTCTGCAGACACACAACCGCACGGCGTAAATGTTGCAGTGCAGCTTGATGCTTCTCGTGCACTCGGTGCTGGCAGCTGCTGCATTCCGCGGAAATGAAAAATGAAGATGCATTGAGAGTGCGCCGTGGCTCTCATCCCCTGTGGGAATGCTGCACGGCGTGTGGCGGTATTGCTCTGAAATGCCGCACCATCACGCACGAGGACGTGGCACGGAGTGGAATTTCTTTTTTTTTGTCTGCTGTTGTGGGTGTGGGCGCGGCCGCGTCGGACTTGTCGGCACGATGGCCGCAGTGTGTGGCTGTCGCTCTGTTGTCTCGAGAGATATGCTACGACGCTTTCACGGGTGTGTTGTTTCGGGGAAAATATGCCGGCGGCTGTGCGATTGCCGAGTGGAGGGAAAGGAGTGGAGGGAAGTGCGTGAGCGCCGCGGTCAAGAGTCGCGCTGGGTGTCTCGCCGCGGAGGGCACTGCCCACCCAACCCAGCACCGCTCCTGTCGGGCATCCAATATCACACTGCAGGATCGTAGTCGACGCCACCAGCACGCAGCGAGGCAGCGGATGCCACCACCGCCACGAGTGCGACCGGAAGGGGGCACGTCCGCTGTTACGTTCCGAGGGGTCACACCATGTGGCACAGTGGCGTGCCCAAAACCCTCCTCGCGGAGTCCGCACACGACACCGGGCACTGGCCGCGGAGTGTTTGCGTCATGGAGGACACTGCGGTGGAGTTTTTCCTCCCTCCAGGTGGACGGACGCCTGATTTTACTCTTTTTCCCACCCAGGCGGATGGCTGCGCGGTGAAATCAAAACAAGACATTTGCTCTCACCATGGAGGGACAATATCTGTGGTGCTATGCATTGGGAATGTAGATGACAAATGCAATATTGAAGGCAGCATCACGGCACTCTTTTGCCATGCACACCGCAGTCATTTTCCATAAAGCATGCAAGTTGCACTCTTTTCTGTTGTGTGGGGGATTACCATGATGTAATGCTGTTGCGGTGTGTATGATTTGTGCTCCCTGCATGTGGCCGCTGCTTTACCGAATTCTCTTCCCACTTTTCTGTGTTTCTGTCAGGGTTTATGTACCCACTTCCTCCTGCTGAGTGTGTGCGGTGACGGCGGTGCCACAGGGGTGCGGGACCGTGGCGAGCGGTATGCGTGGACGAACCCTCCGTGCGCACCACGTTGTTATTATTGTTTGCTCTTTCCAACACTGTGCTGGGTGGATGGTATCCACGTGCTGTCGTTGTGGTGGTTCTCGTGTATCGAGTACAGTGCCGTCACACCGCGTGGATGACTCTCTTGTTGTGGCTGCCAGTCATTTCTGTGACTATTTTCTTTTTTATTCCTCTCTCGTTTGTTGGTCAGTAATCAGCTTTAACTCAATCCAACCAATAAAACAAGGAGAAACAATGCCTCCAAAGCGCAATAGAGTGCAAGGTGGCAATGCCAGGAGTCGAGCGTCTGCTGTGCCGCAGGGAGATCGTCAGAGGAGAGCGAAGCCGGAGTCTGAGGGTGAGACAGACCAACCCGCCGCGACCCACATAAGAGCGGAGTCGCAGCAACCACAGTGGACCATGAGCAGCACCGTAAAGGAAATCCTGATGGAGGGAAGCACTAGCAGGACCGAAATGAAGCTGAACGATTTCCTTCGGAGCAACTTGGGCGGCAGGGGCGTTGTGAGAAGAAATGGGAACGTCGTTATGGAGGCGTTTGTTCAGGAGCCGGATGATTACGTACAAGACCAGCAGCTTCTTAGAAGAATTCTTAATTTAACTGCGTACCAAGAGCTGGAGGCTATTTATAAGCTTCGTCACGAGGGTGTGTTCTCTCTCGAGCAATGGAGGGAATATGAAGGAAAGGATACGGTCACTCCACTTGCAAGGGGAAAACTAAACGCAGCCCTCACTCAGATACAGAAAACAGAACGGCTTGAGGCAATGGAAAGGCTAAGGCGTGAGGAAGAAGAAAGGCAAAGACGACTGCAAGAAATGAAATTTACCATTTCCACCACGATCGAAGAAGTACTGTTCAAAGGGGAATTTCGCTACAAGGAAATGAAGCTTAACGATTTTCTTCTGCTGAGGTTTGGCGGAAAGGGCGTTGTGGACACAAAGGAGAATGTCTTGCTGGAGGACTTTGTAAAGGAACCGGCGAGGTATATCCACGATACGGGAGTATTGGGCGAAATAAGGACAACAGGCGCTTATTTGAGGATGGAGAGGGCTGTAAGGGATGAAAAGGATAAGGAGGAAGATGTATGCAGGCTTAAGCAGGCTGGTGTGTCCAATTTACAGAAATGGTCCGAAGCTGCTGCGGAGGTAAAAGAAAACGTTCATGAGATCACTAAAAGTTTTTTGGATGCAGCCCTTGAGGAGGTGAGGAACCCAACGACGTCGAGTGCACCGATATACCTGGAGGGATGCTACGAGTCCGTGTACAATGCGAGGTGGCATCATGTCGTGGAAGTCCCTGGCGGCGAGGGGACGGTAATGGATGTGAAGGAGGGGAAACCACCGCAGTCATGGACGTACAAGGCGGTTGGCAACACTCTTGAAAAGGATGACGGTGCAGAGCAATCCGGTGAAGCACCTCCCAGGCTGATGGTGCTCACCTCGGACAAGGCATGGCCGTACAGATGGGAACGGGGGAAGAGTCGATTTATTCATGACTGCTATGTGAACTGTGAGGTGGATCGAGTGTGGCGGATCGTCAAGCGCGATCTCACCAAGTGGTTCAACAGTCTTCCTGGGGCCGACTTTAGGCCTGATCCGCGTGTGTTAATTGGGACGCCCGGGATCGGGAAGTCGATGAATGCCGGTTCGTACCTCCTCTATCAGCTGCTGCACTGCGATACGGAGCGACTCCAAATGGTTGCGTACGTTATTGCGGATCGAAAATTTCTTTTTGACAAGACCGCCAAAACGGTGAAAAAATACAGTGCGGCGTCTAATATCGTGGATCTTTTGGACGGGTTGTCTGACCGTGGGGTGAAAGGGTATATTATCTACGACGTGGCAATGAGGGGTCATGAACCGCCTGCAGGTTTGCCTTGCAAGGGATGGGGCATGATTGTGGTGACTTCACCGAACACAAGGAACTACGAATCGTGGGCAAAGCAAATGGACGCTACTGCAATCATAATGAATTGCCCTGACGAGAGCGATGTGAGGGCAATGTGCGTTTGGAAGGAGCACAATGGGCAGCTTGAGGAGGAAGAAGCGGAGGAAGAAGTGGGGGAAGAAGCGGGGGAACAAACAGAGGAAGAAGAGGAGGAAGAAGAGGAGGAAGAAGAGGAAGAAGAGGAGGAAGAAGCGAAGGAACAAGCGGAGGAAGAAGCGGGGGAACAAGCGGGGGAACAAACAGAGGAGGAAGAAACGGAGGAAGAAGCGGAGGAAGAAGCGGACTACTGGAAAAAGGTGAAGAAGCGCATGAATAAAGTGGGGCCGATTCTCCGCTTCATCTTTAATGAAAAAAAATGTAACTCTCGCTTTGTCGCGTGTAAAGATGCCGTGAATGATATCGCCGCTTCGTTGTTACAGTATTACGCTGGTATTGGAACTGGCAAGTCGTGCAACGGCAATCATGTTTCTCACAAGCTTGTGAAGGTTGCCCGAGTACGAAGAGGAAGGAACATTGAATCGCCTTTGAATGTACTGATATCTCCCCACCTCGAACGCAAAACATTGGCCAAGATGGAAATAGAATTGAAGCAGACGGATTTTGTTTTTCTTGTATTGAGTATTTGGGATTATGTCATACCTTATCTTCTTGAAAAGTATGCCGTATCCGCATTTTTGAATAATGATTTCCTGAGTGCGATAAGACCTAAAATTAAAGAACTGAAGCCAGAGAAACGAAGTGAGTCACACACCTGTGCGCTGAAAGAGCATTCGGACAAAAGATTAACCAGAAAAGAGTTTTTACAAGTACCAGACAACCCTTCTAATCGGATCGCCATAAAGTACTGGGTGCTGTATCAACCGAAGGTCAAAAACTTTCCGTTGGTGGATGGCTTTTTCTTCGTGGACTCAAATCCGAAGATCATGGTTGGGCTGCAGATCACTACGGCAGGTGAGCATCACACCATACCCAGCACTGTGAGGCAGTTCAATGAGCGTATGGTGGCATATTTTAATGATTGGGGGGAATTATCTCGAGAAATGTTGTGGGAGATTGTTTATGTGCAGCACAAAGACAACAAGCCGCTAACTGGCTGGCAGAGATGCGGTCCCGTCAATACCGATAATTTGAGCGACGCTGAAAAAGAAATTGTGGCATTCTGGGAGGAAAAGGTGCATCAGTACCAAGTAAGAGTATCAGCCGATGACATCAAACGAAGAAAAGCTCCCAGGGTGGGGAAAAAACCAAGGAAATACAAGCACAAATTGGGGAATTAAAGCGGCATTTTGTTTTTTGGTGGAATTTCTCTGGATCCTATATAGTTGGATACTTTCGCATGCATACAGTGCAGGTGCGCCAGCGCCAGGCGACAGTACTGCACACAGATCTCAAAGATGTTCAACACTATCGAAAATAGCATAAAAAAAATATGGGGAATGATGAGGGAAGCTTTTTTTCCGCTCAAAAACATTAAGGGACTTTTATGGGCTTTCATAATTGCGTTTTTATAATAGGAGCTTGTGAAGAGAATGATCGCGGGAGAGCTGGCTAACTTAATTAATGTATGTATATCCTGATAAATGAAGACATTCTTTATGATACTTTCTACCGTATGAATCTTTTGGGAAGAACGCGACTTTGTAGGGGCAGGGAGCCGATAGAGGCCAGTGTATTTTGTTTTTATTTTGCCATCCCACCCGCCCCCTTGATTCCCACCACGCGGCGGGGTCTTGTGGCTGAAGGACCTCAAAGTCTGCCACTTCGTAAGTAATATATTTTAATCGTAACTGAGGACAAAGGACCATGCTAGTGGTCCACAGAATTCTATATATTGAATGAAAAGAAAACATTGAAGCAATTAACTAACGAACCTTTTTTCCTAACTTGTTTGGTTTCCATAGATTATTTCAGGATCCGGCCAGCCGCCCAGAAGATTATTCAAGATTTAAACGGAGAATTGCTCTATTATGGGAGAATTATTGTGACCGTTGCTTTCACAGTTTTACTACATTTTCCATTTTTCATTTTCATTTTTAATTTTATAGGGCCCATCATTAAAAGGAAGCAACTTCAATGGATGAAAAACGGACAAGTTCTATTGTGGAAACAGCGCGCTCCTTGTGACCGCATGGAGTGAGGCGCTGCGTAATAGCTGGATGAGGATCCGTTTCCGCGTGTGTCTCTTTGGGTGATTGCTAGCTCCGTGTGCGTTGTGTGCCGGCTGCGGGCAGTGGCCGTATCTCGTTGTCCGTGGGATTGAACCATAGGTGGTGACGGTGTGTGCGTTTGTTGAGGCCGTCCATTGGTGTGTGGTGGCTGGCGGTGTGTGAGTTTGTTGTGTGGAGGCCGAATCGCCGTTTATGCACGTAGTGAGTCACAACTGCTGTGAAGCGCCGCGTCTTGTCAGTATGGACTTATTGCCGTTACGCGGTGTGTTTGACCATGTTTTTCGTTATGTGCATAAGCGCTGGGCGTGTTTTACCGGAGCGTTGGGCGCGACCATCTGCCATGGCGACAATTTGTATGGTTGAGCGCGTGTGTGCGGGTTAGGGTTAGGGTTAGGGTTAGGGTTAGGGTTAGGGTTAGGGTTAGGGTTAGGGTTAGGGTTAGGGTTAGGGTTAGGGTTAGGGTTAGGGTTAGGGTTAGGGTTAGGGTTAGGGTTAGGGTTAGGGTTAGGGTTAGGGTTAGGGTTAGGGTTAGGGTTAGGGTTAGGGTTAGGGTTAGGGTTAGGGTTAGGGTTAGGGTTAGGGTTAGGGTTAGGGTTAGGGTTAGGGTTAGGGTTAGGGATAGGGTTAGGGTTAG